TATAGCCAGTCACACAGTGTGTTATTATATAATATACAGCTATAGCCAGTCACACAGTGTGTTATTATATAATATACAGCTATAGCCAGTCACACAGTGTGTTATTATATAATATACAGCTATAGCCAGTCACACAGTGTGTTATTATATAATATACAGCTATAGCCAGTCACACACCGTGTGTTATTATATAATATACAGCTATAGCCAGTCACACAGTGGTATTATATAATATACAGCTATAGCCAGTCACACAGTGTGTTATTATATAATATACAGCTATAGCCAGTCACACACAGTGTGTTATTATATAATATACAGCTATAGCCAGTCACACAGTGTGTTATTATATAATATACAGCTATAGCCAGTCACACAGTGTGTTATTATATAATATACAGCTATAGCCAGTCACACACTGTGTTATTATATAATATACAGCTATAGCCAGTCACACAGTGTGTTATTATATAATATACAGCTATAGCCAGTCACACAGTGTGTTATTATATAATATACAGCTATAGCCAGTCACACACTGTGTTATTATATAATATACAGCTATAGCCAGTCACACAGTGTGTTATTATATAATATACAGCTATAGCCAGTCACACAGTGTGTTATTATATAATATACAGCTATAGCCAGTCACACACAGTGTGTTATTATATAATATACAGCTATAGCCAGTCACACACAGTGTGTTATTGTATAATATACAGCTATAGCCAGTCACACAGTATGTTATATACTATACAGCTATAGCCAGTCACACAGTGTGTTATTATATAATATACAGCTATAGCCAGTCACACACAGTGTGTTATTATATAATATACAGCTATAGCCAGTCACACACAGTGTGTTATTATATAATATACAGCTATAGCCAGTCACACACTGTGTTATTATATAATATACAGCCATAGCCAGACATGGGGTGGGGGAGTTAATAATAATCCTTGCGTTTGATATATAGAGCGTAATCATGTGTTCGGGACGTTTCAAAGCACTTCACAGGATATACTGTAAAGTGAATTGATTGTATATTTTGTGGGCGAAATGGTGATGAATGACAAAGAACAAAGTTTATATGTGAAGTGGAGAAAAACTGGAACAATTACACTCAGCTATAAAAGTACAATCATTTCAAACTGTGGTTTTCAGTTAAAGAACGTCAGAGAGAAAGAGTAATTACAGGGAATAAAGAGGTGTCATTAATCACACAGTGTATACAATTCATCTGCTTTCACATTAAATAGCATCAGACATGTGGGGAGAGACCGAGAGAGAGAAAGAGGGGCGGAGAGAGAGAGCGAGAGAGACCGAGCAAGAGAGAGCGAGGGAGAGAGAGACCAAGCGAGAGAGAGCCAGAGAGAGGGAGAAAGGGAGGGGAGGGTGAGAGACAGAGAGAGGGAGAAAGGGAGGGGAGGGTGAGAGACACAGAGAGGGAGAGAGGGAGGGGAGGGTGAGAGCCAGAGAGAGGGAGAGAGGGAGGGGAGGGTGAGAGACACAGAGAGGGAGAGAGGGAGGGGGTGGATGAGCTGTTATTTGGACTCGTGTTACAGAATGTTATATAATGTCCCATAGAAAGCATAACACCCTCGTGCACTCTCTCGCTCCACACTCTCTCGAATACCCGTGACCCGCTCAGCACCCAGAGACAATACGAGCTTTAATTAAACAGCAGCTCTGCTCAAACATCTAAACTGTAACAGTTTAATACCTTCACAACGTTTTATTGTTAAATAAATCTATTTCATTGATGGCTACACACTCCCACACCATCAGCAGCTTACACACAGTCTTCAGCAGAGCTGACCTGGGAGTGTGGACACACAGTGTAGAGGGAGTGTTACTGTCTCTAACCCTGACCTGGGAGTGTGGACACACAGTGTAGAGGAGCTTTACTGTGTCTCTAACCCTGACCTGGGAGTGTGGACACACAGTGTAGAGGGAGCGTTACTGTGTCTCTAACCCTGACCTGGGAGTGTGGACACACAGTGTAGAGGAGCTTTACTGTGTCTCTAACCCTGACCTGGGAGTGTGGACACACAGTGTAGAGGAGCTTTACTGTGTCTCTAACCCTGACCTGGGAGTGTGGACACACAGTGTAGAGGGAGCGTTACTGTGTCTCTAACCCTGACCTGGGAGTGTGGACACACAGTGTAGAGGAGCTTTACTGTGTCTCTAACCCTGACCTGGGAGTGTGGACACACAGTGTAGAGGGAGCGTTACTGTGTCTCTAACCCTGACCTGGGAGTGTGGACACACAGTGTAGAGGAGCGTTACTGTGTCTCTAACCCTGACCTGGGAGTGTGGACACACAGTGTAGAGGAGCGTTACTGTCTCTAACCCTGACCTGGGAGTGTGGACACACAGTGTAGAGGGAGCGTTACTGTGTCTCTAACCCTGACCTGGGAGTGTGGACACACAGTGTAGAGGAGCGTTACTGTGTCTCTAACCCTGACCTGGGAGTGTGGACACACAGTGTAGAGGGAGCGTTACTGTGTCTCTAACCCTGACCTGGGAGTGTGGACACACAGTGTAGAGGAGCGTTACTGTCTCTAACCCTGACCTGGGAGTGTGGACACACAGTGCAGAGGGAGCGTTACTGTGTCTCTAACCCTGACCTGGGAGTGTGGACACACAGTGTAGAGGAGCGTTACTGTGTCCCTAACCCTGACCTGGGAGTGTGGACACACAGTGTAGAGGAGCTTTACTGTGTCTCTAACCCTGACCTGGGAGTGTGGACACACAGTGTAGAGGGAGTGTTACTGTGTCTCTAACCCTGACCTGGGAGTGTGGACGCACAGTTTAACCAGAGCTTTTACTCTCTCTACTCTCATTGGAATTTAAAATGACATTGATGTACTGTCCAGGAAGTTGTCTTTAAAATAACTCTCCTCTTTTTAATATACACTGTAAATTCAAACTTGTGCATTCTGTATGACATTAGTGACATTCCCCGTCAGTCTAAAACAGCGCACAGAGGTAGTAAAAATAGCCATCCATTCGGCACATACAATGTGTTTGCTCACACATACATGTAACAACACACAATTAAACAATAATGTGGTCACTCAATTCACGACTGTTTGTGGGACGCTGCTGAGCATAATTGGGTGCTGCGTTTCGCCCACAAAATACATAGTCACTGCACCTTACAGTATATTCTATGAAGCACTTTGAGACGTTTCAATGACCTATATCAAATGCAAGGATTATGAAGATTGTTAGGTTGAGGACTATAGCGAAGCAAAGTCATATTAAACTTGGATTTCTTTTCTTTCACTTGATACAAAATATAGAATAAGTTCCCAAAATGTAGTTTGAGGGAAAGTGACTGGAGGAACAATAGGAGTTCCCAGGAATGTTGGACAGAGGATTATTTTGTCAGGGAATGTTACTACAAAGGAATACGTCTGATTTGCAATGCTACGGCTGCAGTTATGAAAGATTATAACATATAGTAGGTCAGAGACACACTGCACACCACACAGTATTCAGTGTTTCCCGGGAGGGTCTGTACAGAAATTATAGAAAGGTTTTGTTTTGGGGTCAGCCGGGTGTCTGACACACACGGAAACCCATCACCGAGCTCAGAGTCTCCAAACCAAGCAGAGAATTCCACACATCCCACCTGCACATGGAAATCCCAGAGATAGACTGTTGGAACGGATTACGCACTCTCTCTCTCTCTCTCTCTCTCTCTCCCTGGAGGGACACTTCCTGATTACCTAATTCCGGAAAGTATCAGGCGCAGGTTGGGGGGACCCCAGAGTGTGTGTTGGGGTAACCGTTGGGAGTCTAACCCACATAACTTGCCATTGAGAGAGAGGGCTGTCTGGCAGCTTTCCCGCTGCTTGTCCAGCGAGGACCCCCCTCCCCGTTAGTTAGGGCTTTGGCTGTGGGGTTACCAGGAGCTGAGGGGGAGGATTCCCGGCCCCCAGTGACCGGTCGGCCCTTCCCGGTCCTGCCCGTGAGCCGGGCTCACGCATAGAAAGGTGAACTGCAGTGACACTAAATGACATTATCTGTTGAGGTTTGCAGAACAGACGTTTTTTTTGATAACTAGGAATCGTGCAGTGGGGGAAAAGGGGAAAGGCTTTCACGGAAATAGCTCTATTTGAGCAAATAATCACTTCAGACACGTTCAGGTGCAATAGTATGTACAGGTTTGTTATGTGCGGACACCGAGTGTACAGTGTTAACCCGAACAGCCCTTTCTGGACACATGAGTTTTATGAACCCGGTTGTTAGTCGATTGGTGGATCGCTTTCCGGGAGTAATAATCCCTTCAAAAAAGATTGGGTCCCTCAATCCGCGGCTGTTTGTGGGGCAGACGCTGCCGCGTATCGCCCACAAAATACACAGTCACTACACTTTACCCTATTTTCTGTGAAGAGCTTTGAAACATCTCGAGGACGTGATAAGGAGCTGTTACACAACCTGCCCTGGGGGTAAGGGGGGGGGGGGGGGGGGACAACAACAACACCTTACACTCATACAGCGTTCTCCACACAGGGCAGCGTCTCGGAGCGCTCACCGGGGGAAATGCGAGGGGGAAATATCTGCCATCCATAACCCCCCCAACCCCCAACCCCACCCCCCAACCCCCCCCACCCCCCAACCCCCCCCACCCCCCCCCCCCCGTCAGCCCCTATTATAATGTATTGACTGCCGTGTCTCACCCACAAAATATACAGTCACTCCACTTTACAGTGTATCTGTGAAGCGCTTTGAGACGTCTCGAAGGCGCTGTTGTCCCAATGCAAAGATTATTGTTATATTATGATATTCATTTTGTACATTGATATCTTATTATATTGTACAATGATCGTTATTATAAACCAGAACAGCAACACCCGCCCCAGGAAAAGGCGCTCACACCCCGGAACACGGCCCCCGCACCGCACCGCCCCGCACCGCCCCGCACAGAGCACCGCACCGCACAGCGAACAGCGCAGCGAACAGCGCGGCGCTGCGGGTTTTACCTGATAACTGATCATAGCCGTTCATCGCTCTGCGCTCCGGGATCCGCGTCCCGCTCTCCCCCTTCATCATCATCATCATCATCATCATCCCGTCAGGATTCCCGGGACACCGAGTCCAGGCCCCGCCCACACCCCGAGCCCAGGCCCCGCCCACACCCCGAGCCCAGGCCCCGCCCACACCCCGAGCCCAGGCCCCGCCCACTCTCTGTGTCCCTCTCTGTGTCCCTCTCTATGTCTCTCTGTGTCCCTCTCTATCTCTGTCCCTCTCTGTGTCCCTCTCTATCTCTCTCTGTGTCTCTCTCTGTGTCCCTCTCTATCTCTCTCTGTGTCTCTCTCTGTGTCCCTCTCTATCTCTCTCTCTGTGTGTCTCTGTGTCCCTCTCTATCTCTCTCTCTCTGTCCCTCTCTGTGTCCCTCTATCTCTCTCTCTGTGTCTCTCTCTGTGTCTCTGTGTCCCTCTCTATCTCTCTCTCTCTGTGTCCCTCTCTATCTCTCTCTCTCTGTCCCTCTCTGTCCCTCTCTCTGTGTCTCTCTCACACACATACACTATGTCTGAATCACTCACAGACTCTCTCTCTCTCCTCTGTTTCTCTCACACGCGCTCTCTCTCTCTCTCTCTCTCAGATACACTCTTTAAATGCCTTTCTCTATCACACTCCCTCTCTCACTATCTCCTGGTGTCTGTCTCTCTCTCTCTGTCTGTCTGTCCCACTGTGTGTCTGTCCTTCTCTCGCAGTCTCTCTGTACCTGTCTCTCTCTCTCTCTGTGTCTCTCTCTCTCTACCCCCTCTCTCACTCCCCCCCTCTGTGTGGCTGTCACCATCACTCAGTCTGGCTGTTGTTCCTGTGATCACAGCTGATCTCCTGCAGGTTGTTTCCTGCCTTTTATTTTCTGTGGACATTTTCCTCCCAGTAATTCTGAGCTTTTCCTCTCCAAACCTCCACTGTCCCCCTCTCCCTGAGCTGCTGTCCCCCTCTCCCTGAGCTGCTGTCCCGCTCTCACTGTCTGTGTCTGTCTTTCTCTCTCTGTCACACACACAGTTTCTGACTGAGTGGATAGTTCTGGTTCATTTTTCGCACCGCAACATCCAGAACTATGTTCTATATCCAGATCTTCCAATGTCTCTCTCTTTGTCTCTCCCTCTCGCACACACACCAGACAAATACAGACAGACAGAGGAGAGTGTGTGTGTGTGTGGGGGGGGGGGGGGGGGTCAGAAGGTGGTGGGTTTAAGCCCCAACATGGGGACTTGGAATCACACAGTGTGAGCTGATGCTCCACTGCAGCGCTGGGGGGCGGCTGCATTGTCAGAGGTGCCGTCCTTTGGGTGAGATGTTAAACCGAGGTCCCTTCTGCCTGTTCAGGTGATGTTGACGATCCCGCGGCTATTGGAAAACAAGGGAGTTTCTCCCCGTGACTTGACCGACAGTCGGCAAATAAAGTTAGTTATTCACTTCATGTCTGTTTGTAATATAATAATAATATCTGTGGGACACTGACATGAATTGTCTGCCATGTTCACCCACAAATACAGTCACTCCACTAGACGGTGATTCCTCGTGAGGTGTTTTAAGCTGAGTGACCGCAATGATGCCCAGATTAGAAGCTGTGGCAGAGGATTGCTAGCAATAAAATACAACAGAGATGATGGACGCTGAGATGATGCTGTGGCTCTGAGATGCCAATCAGAGAGCCAGTGAGGAGGAATGGCTCACACACAGCATCTCATACACAGTGTCTCACACACACATCTCACACACACACACACACACACACAGCATCTCACAAACACACAGCATCTCACACACAGGATGACATACACACCCTCCCTCGTTGTCTCCGACATATTGACTAAGCCACAGCCTCCGTCTGTGCCCTGTTTACATGGACATTAAAGATCCTGCGGCAGTATTGGCAAAGAGAAGGAGTTTCTTTCTCTCTCCCATTTGCCCAACAATCCTCCAGATAACAGCCAGGTTCACCTCCTGGCTGTTGGTGGGTCTTTGCTATGGAGCCAAATGGCTGCCGCATTTGTCCACATATCCACAGTCACTACACCTGCCAGTGATTCCAGTGTTGAGGCCATGTTTTGTCTGTATAAAAAGATATTGAGAGAAACACGGAGATTGTGGCCTGGGTTAGAGAGGGTGATGTGGTCAGTGTGTGTGTGTGTGTGGGGGGGGGGGGGGGGGGTGGGCTAATGTGGGGCTCACTCTCTCGGTCTATCTCCAGGTCTTTATGTTAATAACTAGTTCAGACGAAGTTGATGTTCTGCCTTTCCCACTGAATTGCTGAATGAATGAATGATTAATTGGTCTCTGAAGCACAGCCACTCACCAAGATATTTTTATCAACTAACAGAGAGCGAGCGAGCTCCCAGTCTCACTCCACTTTTGTTGGGAGAGAGAATGCAAGTTGGATGAAGGGATTTTGTTTGTAATCTATTTACATTTATCTCTCCCTCCCTCATCCCCCTGCACCCTCTCTCCTCACATCGAAGCTATCGGAAAAAGGAGTTTCTCTCTCTCCTGGCCGACAATCCCCGGATTAATTTCTCATTCCCTTGATGGCTGTTGTGAGATGTTGCTCTACACAAATCCTGTGAAGCGCTTTGAGACATCCTCTGGAAGTGAATGGGCCAGGATCAGATGTAAAGATTATTATTACTACACGTGAGAAGCTGTTTAATTCTACGTTTGACACTGATTTTCAGATGATGGAAGTCAGAACACATGGAGTGTGTCAGAATTTCCTGGTTATAAATAAATCCTTTCCCCAGGGCCCGGGGTCTGAGTTTCTGTGGCCCCCCCCGGAAGCCTGAATTCCCCCCGGTCTCAGCCTATCTGTCAGATCATGTTATCCTGACATTGAAGCAGACCAAATGGTGGAAATTCTTCCAATAATAATAACCCTTACAGGACTATATATATAATACATGCATACAACAATAACAACAAGATTACATTTGTATAGCGCCTTTCACGTCGGGAGGACGTCCCAAGGCGCGGGACAGTAACAGCATTTCAGACCCGAGCTGGGGTTGGGGGGGGTGGGAGAAGGAAGGGGGTGGGAGAAGGAAGGGGAAGGGGGGTGACCGATGACATGGTTGAAGAGGAGGGTCTTGAGGCGGGATTTGAAGGAGGCTAAGGAGGGGGCGAGGTGGAGTGACTGGTGGATGGAATTCCCGAGGTTGGGGGCAGAGTGGCTGAAGGCTCTCCCGCCAATGGTGGGTCGGGGGACGTGGAGCAGCCAGAGCCGGCTGAGCAGAGGGAGTGGGCGGGTTAGTAGGGGGTTAGGAGGTCACAGAGGTAGGGTGGGGTGAGGCCATGGAGGGCTTTGTAGGTGAGGATCAGGATCTTGAACTGGATCCTCTGAAGGATAGGGAGCCAATGGAGTCGGGAGAGAATGGGGGAGATGGGGTCACAGAGTTTGGTGCGGGAGAGGACATGGGCTGCAGAGTTCTGGATTATCTGCAGCCTGTGAGGGGAGGGGTTGGGAAGGCCAACACGCAGGCGTTTGCATAGTCGAGCCTGGAGGTGATGAAGGCATGAACAAGAGTTCCAGCGCCTGAGGGGTGAGGTAGTGGCGGAGTCGGGCGATGTTACGGAGGTGAGGGAGGGCAGAGCGGGTCATGGCTTGGATGTGGGGAAGAAGACAGTTGAGGGTCGAACAAGACCCCCAGGTTCCTGACTGGCTGGTGAGTTGTAGTGAGCTGTAGTGTATAACCATGGAGGTGATGCTGCCGGAGCCTGAGGTGCTGAGGCACTGGTGTGAGCCAATCAGGAGGGCCTCAGTCTTGTTCACATTCAACTGTAGGAAATTTGCCCTTCGTACAGTTGAATGTGTAATATGTGTAATATTACAGTTGTAATATATAATGTACAATATATATTATATATTACGAGTTATATAGTTACTACAATGTATAGAATGTTATAATGTATTGTTATAATATATATAATAAAAAAATTGGTTAGTCAATCCACGACTGTTTGTGGGACGCCGCTGTGCGCAATTGGCTGCCACATTTCACCCACAAAATACAGGCAATTCACTTTACAGTGTAATCTGTGAAGCACTTTGAGATGTCTAGAAGATGTGATAAGGCGCTATATCAAATGCAAAAATTATTATTATTATTAGTGAATTGACTGTATTTTATGGGCAAACAATATAGAAAATAATGCTGTGTCAGGCACGTTGTGTAATGTGAGACTGAATACATCTGACAGCTGCTCAGTGCTGATGCTGGACTCTGGAGGGATTTAATCCAGTTTAATGAATCTACATGTTGTGTGTATAAAATATGCAGCAGAGTGGGGCTTTTGGGAGGATTAGACTGTGTTGGTATCTGGGGCACGGCAGCTGAGGCCACGTGAACTCAACTGATTTCTTCATTGGAAGATTTAACTCTTCACCAGCCACGGAAATTCCTCCCGGTCTCAGTCTGCAGAGCATCCCAGAGTATTATAGCAATAATAACAATAATAATAATAATCCTTGCACTTGGTTCAGCGCCTTATCACCTCAGAAGGACATCTGAAAGTGCTTCACAGGAATTACTGTAGTTGTAGACAAACACAGCAGCACAATTGCACACAGCAGTGCCCCACAACCATGGAGAGACCAATTTTATTTTGGGGGATTGTTGGCCAGGACATCAGGAGAGAGAAATGATAGTAACTCAAAGTGAATATAGGGATGGGATCAGACACTGAGCAAGGGAGAGGGGTGAGGTGGCTATAGGCACATTCAAAGAGGTAAGATTTAAGGTGAGATTAAAGACAGAGAAGGGAGGAAAACTGGGGGGGGGGTAAGTGAGGGGATTCCTAAGGCTAGAGACATGGGAACTGAAGCCTTAACCACCAATGGTGACGCGTAGAGCGGGGCTCACATAGAAAGCCTGAGACAGCTGTCCCAGAGCTTGAAATTGATCCGCTAGGAACCAGTGGAGATGGGCAAGGACTTGGGACAATGATCATGTGTGACAATCCTCCAAGTAAAGAGACCCTAACCCTCAGCTCCCCCCAATCCTCCGCAATCAACCCTGACACTGAACCCACCCCCCCCACCTACTAAAGACAACAGTTCTCCCCCCTCCCCCCAGTCTCCCCCACTTCCCCAGGTAAAGTACTAACCTAGCTCAGCCTCTGGTTGAAT